AGTTAATTCCCAAGGACAGGAAGAAGTCTCATATTCTGTCATGTTTGTCTACATGAGGATGAACCAGTTCTCTATATGGGTACATGCACTAGTTCCTAAAAGTGGTAAAATACCATGTCATAGGAAATTCATGCAGGATATGCTACTGCAGTGTAGTTTATAATCCTCTCACCCAAAAAGTTAAGTATGGTGTGATATTACCCAGCACAGGCTAAATATGATTCCTGTGTGTTTTACTCTTCTGCCATCTGAGATTTCCTTTCATTAATTCCACCCACTTGAGTCATATGGTTTCAGTAGTCTTGAACTGCCAGACTGAAGTGACATTTGCCTACATATTTGTTTCTTTTAGGATTTCATTTGTGAATCTACATTAATAGCTTAGCTCCCTCTCCATCCATTTTGGAGAGGAGCAGAAACTCTATCTTCCTCTCTTCACAATCTTCCACACTCATCCTTGGTGACTTCAGCTTCCATGTTGATGACCTATCCTGCCCCTTAGCTGCATATTTCCTCACACTCAACCCTTCATTTGACCTGCAGCCCTGGTTTAACTGTCCCACTCATTAAAAAGGCCATTTAGTTGACTTGGTCTTTACCAAGCACTGCTATGTCTCTGATCTCTCTGTTACTCAGTTCCCTCTCCCCGACCATCACATGGTCTCTTTTAGCAGCACTCATTTCCTCCCCGTTTCCCCAATGCCCTGTCTCTTAGCCTTTCTGCTGACTTCCAGTCCATCAGCATTGATAACATCTCATCTGCTCTCAGACCTCTGTTCCAATGAGATGGTTGTTGAGTTTCTCCATGCTTCACCCTCCTCCACTTGTGACTCCTTTGCCCTTCTCTCCCACAGTCAGGTCCACCATGGCTCACCCTCTACCTCCACTTCCTCTGCTGTTGCTCTTTCACTGTGGAGCATCCCTGGTGGAAATCCTGTGACCTCCACTACAAATTTGTTCTTTCCTCCTTCAGTTCTGCCATTTTCCTTGCTTCCTTGCAACTCTACATCTCCAACTTAATTGAATCCCCTGCGCACAATCCTAACAACCTTTTCTCTGCCTTGACTCAATTCTTAATCCCTCCCCTCCTGTGAGAGAACTTGAAAATAGTATCACATGCCTAAATTCCAGTTTTTATGCATGCATCTGACAAGCACGTTTTCATTGTCACCTCTGATGTATTGCTTTCTTCATTTTGCACTGTACTAGGTCATTGTCTTAGAATGTAAGGCCTTCAAGGCATGGGTATATGTTTAGCGCAGTCCTATTGCACAAGTCTGTGTGCACCTAGAATGCCATAATCCGTAATAATAATTACCGGTATACTGTCATCCTGCAGTGAAGTTTGCAGAAGGGTGACAGATGTCCTGCAAAACTCCCCTTGTGGGTTATATGCAGGACCACACAAAATGCAAACTGCAGATCCTGGGTACCCATGGGAAAAGGAAGTTGGAGCCCCATTGAGAGCTGATCCCTCCACGGTGATGACTGGATCCCTTCTTCATGGCAGCATGGCTCCTCTACGTTGCCAGTGGATCCCCTGCCCATATCTGGTTAAAAAGTTCGTTTTGCTTAGGGGGCTGAAGGCACAAAATAAGAGTTAATGTTGTTTGAAGCAGCATTAACTTGTGCAGCTATATGAGTAGATATCGATACAGATTAAGGGAACATGGCACACAGAGTAGCTGCTTCCCTGGCACACTGCCTCCTAAAATAGCAACAAATGTCACTACTTTAAAGTCTGATCACTGAAGACTTTCTAGGACCAGAAGCAAATGCTGTGTGTCCCTCTGGGAAACTAACCATCCTCTCTTTCCAATGGTATAAATCTTCCAATTCTCCCTCTACAAAGTAGAGGATCTTAAACCTAACACTGATCCGGGACTCAGTATTGCTCATCCTAGGGGTGAGGCACAAGCATTTTTTTTTGGTGAATCTCCGTATGTTTTTGGGAAAGGAAGAATCTTTTCTCATGGCAAATTGATTTTTTTATGATGGTGGTTATAAGAAGTTGCTCAGAATTTGGTATGTGAGAAGTAGGCCAGATGAACTGGTGGGCAGGGTGGAGGTGAAGCAGTAAAAGGTGCATGATACATGCACTGTATCTCAAAAATATCACATTTATGTGGAACATATGGGAAGTTTATATGGCGGTGCAACAGGGTTCCAGGAAATACAATCCTGCATGGAGATGCAAGACTGTGTTGATCCACTCTCTTAGCAATAGTTAAAATCCTGTAGAAAGCTGAGAAGTAACCTCTGATGACTCATTGTGGCAGACACAACCTTTTAACTCCACCAGGATATAAGAGAGGTGGGCGTGAAACTCTGGTTAAAGGGAACTAAGGGTAGAGACATTTCCACATGGATGTCTTGGGGATAAAAGTGTAGGCTTTTAATATTGCTTAAGGTATCAATAAAGGCAAACTTTTGTGAGGGGGTGCATTTGACATTATGCATCGTGTATAGATTTTGTGTGGTGCAAGGCTGGAACTCCACTTACTTACAGAGGGGTATAATAGTTGGGATGTCCCGCATAATTCATGTGTGGCTTTGATATTTATGAGTAATTCAGACATCAAAGCCTCAAGTTAGATAAAACCTTTATGCCACAAAACTTTTTATCCCATATGTGTATGTGCATCTCTCTTTCTCTTAACTATGGTGCTGCTATTCATGTGATAACCTTGTAGCCATTTCACCTGCACTCTGCCCACTAATCCATCTCTGCTGCTGACATTACAAACTTCTGAACAGCTTTCAAACAGCCACCTAATGCTTGTGTAGATTGTATTATGGTAGCACCTAGAGACCCAAGTCAGGGACCAAAATCCATTGTACGAGGTATGGGAGACATAGGTCATAAAAAAAGGTCTCTCCCCATGATGAAAGACAAGAGGTGTGTCATGGGGGAAAGATAACAAAACAGTGAAACAGGCATGCTAAGCACAAAACCCAGCAGGCCTAGCCAATGTTAAGTGTCTTTGGCAGAGATGAATTTTAAGGAGAGATTTTAAGGAAAACAATGAGAATCATAAGGCTGGTAGGGACCTCAAGAGATCATCAAGACCAGGCCCCTGAACCGAGGCAGGTCCCGGGTAACCTAGACCATCCCTGACGTGTGTTTCTCCAACCTTTTTTAAAAAGCTGTAATGATGGAGATTCCACAACCTCCCTTAGAAGCCTATTCCAGAAAGTAACTACCCTTACAGTTAGAAAGTTTTTCCTAGTATCTAACCTAAATCTCCCTTGCTGTAGAGTAAGCCCATTGCTTCTGTCAGAACCTCAGTGGACACGGAGAACAGTCCTCTCTATAATAGCCATTAGCATATTTGAAGACTGTTATGTAGTGGCTTTTGGGATATTATTGGGAAGCTTTTTCCATACATAATGGGTGACATGAGAGAGCATGAAATTGCTTGTTAGAAAATTGGACTAATGGGTAATGAAGGTTTGCATTGTTGACACAGCAGTGATAATAAAGTGATCTGAGGGTCTGATATGTGGTTGTTTACCAGGGCTAGAAACAAGTGGGAAGGTGGCTCCCAGCTCCTCTCCAGGAACATAAAGTACAAATTTCGAGTCCCATTATACAGTGAGATACTGGATTTTAAATCTGTCACTAGTCCAAAACTGAATATTGTCCATTCTGTACTTCAAACTGTTGTAGCTGGGAAAGGTGAGATGGGTCTCACCAGCTCCTTAATAGCCACTCACATAAAAGAACCACCAAACACATTATTTTTCATCTGCTTGCAAAATTCTTCCTCTCAAAAATCAGTCTCCAGCCTCCACCACTAACCTCTTTGGGCCCTGCCCCATCAGAGGGTCTTGTCATTCAAACCTCACCTTGATATAAAGTCATCTTTCTAGAAAATCAACAGACCCTTCTGGCGCCTTCCTTCTCATTGCGGTGATATGGCTGGTGACAAATAAACACTCCAGACTTACTATTACGCCCCCCAACGTATTGTTGCGGTGCATTGTGTTGTTGCGAGAACAATACTGGTTTGTAAACTATTTGGGTTTACAGATTAGTTTACTTTTAAATTGCATTGGACTGTAGTTTGCTCGCAGAAACCCGTGGACGAGTCCGGTTCACAGAGAAGTGATTTCATTATGAAGCATTAAGGGAGTCGGCTGCTGCGGAGACTTTGGAAGCAGCACGGGGACACTGTCCAGATTCTTCACTGCCTGCTCCCGAGCCTTAAAAGCCGTTTATAATCCCACGCTCTTATCCTGATTTCGAACTGCAGGAGTCTACAGCTTCCTCCGAGCAAAGAGCGAGGCTCTCCCTAGCGTGTGAGTACCGTAGATCACAGCAGAAAAGAAAGGCAGGGTAGAGCTGTCCCAAAATTGCCCCCCCCCCCACCCCCCCAGTGCGAGTTGAACTACTCCCGGCTGCGGCGGCTCCCCAACGCCCCTCGCCTCCCAGGCACTGTGTAGTGCGACAGCGCTGAAAGGGGGTCAGGCTCCAGCGAAGGAAAAATCCACGTGGTAAAGCTGAAGAATAATGGGGCTCCAATAAAACTGTTCCACAAACTTCCAGGTGACCGATCAGATTTCCACGCTGTGCTTCATGGGGACAGGTGGCTGGCATGCAATTGTCAGTGTAAGGAGCAATGATTTGCTCTGACACAGAGGCTGGTCTTTCTATCCACATTCACAAGAGTGGGTTTGATTTCCAGACCGTCAGTGACCTCTAAGTCCCCCTTGTGATCGCAAATAACACCGGGAATGTCAGAATCCGCCTTCAGAGTAGTTTTCCAGTTACAGTGATAATGCTATTTTATCCAATGTCATGGTGGACCTGGCTCTGCAGGGATCTCCCAAAAGATCCTGCTTCCAGCAGCAGTGTGGCTTGATACATTAAGCGCGTGTTTCATTTATACCATAATGTTTCTGGCCATTTATTTAGTTATGTGCATGCATACATTGCCGCAGAGCAGTAAGAGAGCTACTTTAAGTAGTGCATAGAGCTGTAACCGTATCTGTATTGCAGCAGGTAGAGCTGAGCGCTAGGACCTCGGAGAATCCTCCCAGTAGCAATCAGGACTACCTTAAACCCAGCCCAATGCCTCTTCCTGCGCCACTCTGCGTGCTGGATGGAGATCCACAGTCAAGAGCTGCAGCTCAGTGCTGGAGTACAACATTTCACAGGGAGCCCTGCAGAAGCAACACCTGTTTCGAGCCAGCCAAGAAAGACACAAGCACTTGTACGTTTCTGCTTTGCTTGTGGATCGTCAATAATTCTAAACCAGCGGACATCTGCTGAGCCTCCTGAGAATTCTGGATAATAGATCTGGACGTCAAAAGTTTTTTTCTTTTTTTTTCTTTTTCGGATTTATCTCCGCCAACAACGTGAGATTCCCCCGCCCCCTTGCAGGATTCATGCTGATGTATGCAGTCTGTTATAGAGTAAAAACAGCGCATGCCTTTCTGGAGTCAGAATCCATAAATCCTGACGTAGCCTGTGCATCTTAAAAAAAAATCCCTATAACGCCTAGGTATTTAAGTTGCTATGGTCATTCTTATCTTAAACCAAATGGAGAAACTACGGATTTTTTTCCTTATTGCAGTTGGATGGGCTGAAGACCTTACTGCTTGCTAAGAGCTGGGGATATATATACATATATATAGATATACACATATATATGTTTATAAATATGTCAGTGTGAGAGTATAAAGTGGTGGTTTCTTAGACTAACAGGGGTTTGACCTTGACCCTGTACCAGTCAAAACAGAATATTACTTTTATTTATGCATTTAATGGATTGAAGAAAGAACATTTTCTCTGTAACTGCAATAGGGAGGGGAAGTGGAGTGGATATACCCAATCTTATATCTCCTGGGTTTGGCACCATTATTGTTTATTCTTGTTCTCTAAAAACAGAATCTTCTGATGGCTCCCTTAGGTGAAGTTGGGAACTATTTCGGTGTGCAGGATGCAGTACCCTTTGGGAATGTGCCCGTTTTACCGGTGGATAGTCCGGTTTTGTTAAGTGACCACCTGGGTCAGTCTGAGGCAGGTGGGCTACCCAGGGGGCCTGCAGTCACGGACTTGGACCATTTAAAGGGGATCCTCAGGCGGAGGCAGCTATACTGCAGGACTGGATTTCATTTAGAAATCTTCCCCAATGGTACTATCCAGGGAACCAGGCAAGACCACAGCAGATTTGGTAGGTATTATCGTTAACCCTTTAGTGGTCATGTGATGAAATATTGTGATGAACTAATAAAAAGACGGGGGGAAACGCGACGGGAGGAGAATGATTTATTGTTATTGTTATGACGGGCCAGCTACAGAAATGTGTACGGAAATGCAGATACGCCGGTGGCACAACTGCAGCAGCCAAAGCAGCGGCACTTACAGTATTTTTAGTAGTAATATTTCCTAGCTCTAAGTTATGCCTGAGGGTAGAGAGAGAGATTGGGAGTTTTTGTTTATTATTCAGGACGCTTCTACTGAATGGGCTGATTTCACGAGTTTAAAGGGTTTTTAATCGGTAACTACTACAATTTAAAATCCACTGAGTTTCCTGAAGGGAGTGGCTCTCAGTCTGTAGCCACTTTTATGGAAGGGTTTTAAAAAATATATATCTTAATAAGGTAACTACCTGAATTATAAACGGATCGTCTTGATTCTCAGTGAGAGATCCACCAGCAGACCCTCCCTGTCCGCACAAGAGCTCTCTCTGAATGATCTCTGCGTGCATAAAACAAGATCTTAGTTATGAAATAAGAAGAGTGACAATACATTGTAGGGCGCGCAGGTATCCAGTTAACACCCATCCTTGTCATTTTCCATAAGCATGCAGCAAAATGTGGGCTCCCTGAACTATGTGTGTGTGAAGCCGGGAGCTAATTTTAAAGAGCATTCCGTGGATTTCATTTCCAGAGGTCGCTATTTGTGACTCAGCATTGGGGACTGGAGGGCTTATGCCTTCATCCACTTTTAAGAGCCTGTGAGCGCATACGTAGTCAAATGGGCCTGGAGCTACCCTCCTGGCAGGGTAATTTTAAAGACTCTGTCGGGTGCATCTATAAAAGTAGCGGAGTCACTTTGGATGGAGTGACTTATTGGTTTTTAAGGAGGGTGGTGCTTTCGTAGCTATCCAGGCTGTTGGAAGGAGTTAACTTGTGAGTGAACCCACCTGACAGCACTTAAATTAGGTCGTAAAAACAAAGTCCTGTGGTGGGTCCCCCCCCCTTCATGTTTTAATGCCAGATGTTGAACAAGATCTAAATTGTATTTTATTGCTTTTGTGGGGCTGTTTAGATAATACCAGTGTTGTAAGGGATGATCTCCAAAGGTATTCGAGGGCGGGCGGAGAGGATTCAAACGTGCACAGTCACCGTATGTTAGCCGCTGTCAGACTTTTCTGTCTGATAACTGAACGTTGTTTCCGAACACCCTCCTTCAATCACACACAGCAGCACACCGCTCTCAGAGCTAGGAGCTGCAGCTAACAGGGAACCTGGCAGGGCTTTCCCTGCTTCATGATTGTTTTGCTAAAAAAAAAAAAAAAAATGGCAATTTTATAAACAAACGCCCATACAGAGGAAGTAACACCTACGGTCTGGCCGAAACTAGCATGAAGGCAATAACCTGTAGAATAAAATACTACGGGGAATGCAGCGGGGCTTTCCAGCCCAGCCGAAACTCTGAAGGAAAGTTGAGAGAGGGCTTGACAGCAATATCTGCCTGATTGTTGCACTCTCCCCCGGCTCCCCGCCTTTTCTGTGGGGGCACGCGCGCGCACACAGAGGTTCACGTCGACCCCGGGAGCAGGCGGTGCTGTGGTCTGCGTGCGCCCAGACGGAGCTGAGCACTGGGGGGCACTTTGCCACAGAGCGGCAGCAGGCGGCTCGGGCGCGTTCGGAGGCGAGCGTGGCTCACGCCGCTAGCAGGTGTACGGCGGCCGCGCGGCGGCGGCTGCTCCTTCGCGCGTCGGCCTGGGCCGTAGCAGGAGGCACTCTGCAGGGTCCTACACCCCTCCGGGTTCCCCCCCGTTCGGAGGGGCGCCGCCAGCTGGTCCTGCCCAGCGCGGCGGCGGGGACCGCGTTGTTCGGAGCCTGTTTTCCGCCCGGGTTTGCCGCCGCAGTGCTGGGGCGCGAACCGGGGCCGGGCCGAGGGGGCAGCTGCTCTAGCACTGCGGCGCCGCTTCGGCGGAGGAGCTCTTTGCCCTCCCGGCAGTTTGCCGAAGCAAAGCGCGGGGACTGTCTCCTGCCCGTTTGCAGGCAGGGCTGTGGGGTTTGCAAAGGAGGGCCCCGGGGTGGGGATGCTGGTTTGACTTAGGGTGGGGCGGTGTTATCTCCTTGCAGGTGTACCAGGGCTGGATGGCACCCCCGGGCGCGCGGGCGGCCGCTTAGTAAATGTTGCTGACCTGAAGTCTCCTTTCCATCTTCTAGGTCAGGGACGTCCTCGGCCGCACGTACAGGCGGGTCCTTCCCGTCCCAGAGCTAGCGGGACCCCATTGGGGCAGCCTTGGGGTGGGGGCTGGCAGCGGGGGTTGCGGGGCAGAGCCACGAAGAAGTCCCGCAGGAAAAGGGAGGACAAAGGGGACCAGAGGCTGTTTGTAAACTACCCCCAGGCCCTGCTGTGCGCTCTGGGGGCCCCGCTTTGCCCCAGAGGAGCCCTCAGCTAAAAAGCCGACTCTGGGATGCAATTTGGGAGGCGTGCCTATGGCATGCAATGAATCCAGCTCGCCTGTGTGCTGGGAGCCTGAATAGTTTGTATTGTTACAGCCAAACGTACACCTTAAAAAATCGCGCAGTGACAGCAGAATTAGCTTCCCCATGACATCCCATGTGATCAAAGCCTTATCTCTCTGGGGTGACAAAGGATTTTTTTGATGCAGTCTCCTTTGGTCTAGGGCATTTAGTAGACAGTGGAGTCATTCAGTAACTCTGGGACAGTGAAGGGCGTGCCCTTTGCGTCAGCACCGCACTGCATGCACAGCATTAAAGACCCAGGAATATGCAGTGGGGGCCGAGGGGGGGGGAGCTGCTGAGAGGTGACCTCCGTTTCGGGACCCGCCGCAGCCACAAAGAAGCTCCGCAATCGGCACCTGTACCAGCAGCAAGGGAAGGAGGAAGCTCCTGCAAACCACCCACTCGACTGTCTATATAAGTCACCCGTGACCGCTGCGAGCCTGCGACGGTGTTAGGCTTGGGATCCGAGTTTTGTTCAGGAGAAAGGTGTGTGTGTGTGGGCGCAGTGTGTTTTATAGAGCTACTTCGGGACCAGCCAGAGTTGAGCCTGTGGGAGAGGGGGCAGGCTGAGGTGCTCGCTAAAGCGGGGAACCATAAATCTAGTGGGCTTTCTTCCCCTTGTGGAGGCCAGTGATCCACAGGGTGCTACATGGCCTGACCTAGAGCATCTCTGCAGCAGTCCTTGGGCAGTGGCTGCAGTGTATGTGACTAACATCCTTTCCCTTGCTGCCCGCCCGGCTGAAGGGGGTGGGGGTGCAGACAATAGCTCCAGAAACGGGAGTGGAAGCAGCAGCAGAAACAGCTTCTGGCACTTCCCCCTCCTCCTTCTGGTGCTGTATATATGTGATCTCGTCTCTCTCGGTTTGTTTGTTTGTTTATTTATTTATTTATTTTTTTACCCCCTCCACTCTCTTCTTGGAAGGGACTGGGCTGGGGGGAGGGCTGGCATGGTAAAGGAAAACATGCAGCTACCTAGCTCGATCCTTTAGTCTTAGAATCGTAGAACCATAGAGTTAAAAGGGACTGCAAGGGTCCTCTAGTCTAACCTCCTCCAACATGCAGGAATTGTTGTGTCTAAATCATCCAATACAGGTGGCTATCTAGTCTTTGCACAGGGAAAACTCTCCCTGAGTTCTAGCCTGAGTAAGGACTGCATTCTAGGGGTCTGGATGAGAAATAAAGGACACCTGAGGGAGGAAAGGAAGCCTGCAAGAAATAGTGTTCCCATTTTCTCTCTCTCTCTCTGCCCGCTCCCCCTGTTATTGACTGTGTGTGTGGTGGCGATGATGCAGCAGCACCACCCCCAGAAGCATTGTAACACCTCTGGATGCAGTAACTGCAACAAAACGCAGCATCCTTGGAACTGCAGCTGAGTTGCAGTTGCCACTGACCAATACAACCAGCAATTCTGCCAGCCATTTAAAGTTATCTAGGGTCAATATGCTCTGTCAAAGCCTGAGGGGCCCTCCTGCCTCTTGGGGAGTTGTAGCTACTCCCTGGTGTTTCAATTGGCCTCATGTGGCCATGCACGAAAAGAGAGGTGACAGCTGTGACTGGCAGACAGCACTTCCCAGCTGAAATGTTTGTTCCAGCTGAGTGCCAGAATCGGAGCTTTCCAAAAGCAGACAGTAGGTGTCCAGGAAAAGAAGGCTGCTCCAGTGATTTGTAGGGATTGGGGGAAAGCCTGGGAAATCCCCGCCCTGTCCTTCTCTTCCCTGTATTCCCCTTCCCATTTTGAGCTATCTGTTTCATGAGTCTGAACTTCAGTAACTTCCTAGCCAGGGAGTGTATCTTTTTTCCTCCTCTCTCTTTTTTCTGTGGTAGCATTATCACATGCTAAATATATTACAGCACAGTGCTATTTACCTAGCTCTTTGGCTCCAGGTTCTTTGTGGCTTCCCTCCTCTGTGCTGGGCACCTCATTACCTCCTCTCTGGAAATTTCACAAATAAGTCACTGATGGCTTATTTAGTGTATTGGTGATTTATGACATTTCAGGGTGTTAAGTGGCAGCCACATGTTCCTCAGTCCTGCAATATGAAAAATAAATAACTATACTGAGTGAAAAACAGAAATGTACAAAGGGTGGGACAAATACAGTGCCTAGCTATTTAAGGCCAAAGAAAATACATTTGTAGTTCCAGTCTTTACTATTGTGTATTAGACTAGATAAAAGTTGAATTTATTCTGCAAAAGGTGTACCTACTCACCTCCCATGGCATTGGTAGGAATATAGGAATTACCCTACATGGTCAGACCAGTGGTCTATCTAGTCCAGTATCTCTAACATGGTTCAGTATCAAATCGTTCAGAGGAAGGTGCAAGAAACACCGATGCAGGCATTTGTGGAATAACCTTCCCACTGGAGAAGTTTCTTCCCAACTTCCTTAGAGAGAAGTTGGATTCCGCCATGAAGTGGAAATGTTCAGTGTCTGAGAATAAGATGCTCACATGTTTTGAGAAAAGTATATCTTCATTTTGGAGGCTGTCAGATTTTTGACTGGAAATGGGGCCTAAGCCTCAAAGTTCAGAGGTGTTTTGGCCTGGTATTTTGGTTTGGACTACTCTTAATTTAATACCCGTTTCAACTTGTAAGTATAGTTTGTATAATGTACACATAGTAAAGTGAAAATATTCACAAGGGCATAAGGCCAAATCATGCAATCCTTAAACTGGCAAAACTCCCAATGAAGTCAATGAGAGGTTTGCTTGAGAGTAAGGACTACAGGGTAGGCCCAAAATAATCTCTTGAAGTACTCTAGTGCGTAATATATAATACTAGTTGTGAATGGGCTTGTGTATTTAAAATATTCAGATGGCTCTATTGTAATCTCAAATATGTGGGTGTTCATTGCCAGTTACCTTGAAAAATCTGCTACTGTGCTTGCAGTAGAACATATGACAGCACTCTCTCCCGACAGTCAGCAATGTGCACCTAAATATTTGAAATTAGAGCAGCAATTAAGGTCATGCTCCACTTTTATACATGCTCAACATTACTAACTTAGAGCTACTATATGGAATGCTATACACTTAATATAAGAGTTGGCCTCATTTAAAATTTCTTGGAAATGTATATCAAGTAATATGATAGTTCAATGAAAGTCTTACAGAAGAAGCCTCATTAACAAGATTTGGAAGTATTATATATGCAACGATAAGGGGAAAGTTTTAATTGTTTCAACGGGCTGATTGTGTCTGAAACACCACCATAAATACTGTATGTTGCATACCATCTCTTATTATTTCAAAGACAAAATTCCATAATTACCAAATATTTCCCCACTACATTTGCGAAGCCCTCTCTCTGTGTACATATGTACAAAGCAATTTAAAATATATAGGCCTTAATATGTCAGGGTTACCAAAACTGTAAACATACAGTGTAGTGCTGAATAATATATAAAGTAATGATCAATAGTCTCTTATAGGGAGTACATTTCATCTTTACATTCTCTTGGCTACAAAATTTTCCCATAGGCTTTGACTTATATTTTATTAGATTTATGTGGCTCATGCCTGTTATTGATTAGTGCACAGATTATTTTGTGAGAGATGAAAAATTAATTGTTCATAAATCCATGAAAGTACTTATTCGCCAGATAAGACTCAACACTGCAATATTATGCGATTGTTTTATGTAAATATAATTTCCAATAAGCTTTTTTTTAGATACTATGTGGGTGCCTAGACACACACATTCTACCAATTTATTGAAAATGCCTCTCTACATTTTATTTTATGGCTCAGAAAGTAGCTTAATGCAGCAATATGCTTCTGCAACATTAATACAAAAGTATAGTTGTTATGAGATCATAGTAGTCTTGCACCAATACTCCAAAATGAAAAACGATGTCTATTTTGTTCCACTGAAATTCTAGATTTGTACAAGTCTTGGGTGATAGCATCCTCGATGATGAGGTAAGCAATTTGCAGGGAGGGGAAGGAAAAAAATCCAGAACCAGGTGACTTGGTGATGCAGATACACGCTGAACTCTGGGAACTTTGCAGAAGCAGTGTTTCTCTGCAGAACATTCTGATCTGTAGTGCACAAATGCCTCTTCGGGAGAGTATTGTAAAATGTACAAAAATCATTTATGCAGGTTTATTTGGAGCAGGAATATTTTAATTTTCAAAGTTAGGATGAGTAAAAGTATCATCCCAGAGAGTTAGATGAGTAGTTTGTAGACAAATGTGTGTGAGGCTCTGGACTGCACCTCAGATTTTCATTTCTCAAGTTTTTGGAGGACTGCGCTGTGAGGAGATTTCTTTCCATGTATGTATTCCTCATTCAATGATGCTTGGAAATAAATGCTTCTCATAGCAAACAGATAACATTTTATTTTCCTATTGCAATTTTTATTAAAACATGTTTTTAGGGATTTATTTGGCAAAACAAATTTCATAGCCAAAATTAACATGATTAAGGAATCTATCTGAATAGTTTACATTTTTTCTTTGAATTTATTGTTTGTGGTGCAAATCAGGATACTGATAAACGTTGTGTAATATGACTATGCAGTAGAGTTTTGTTTAAAAAAATGCTGGGAAAGGTTGAGAATAATCTCTTGGCTTGACACCCTTATGCTATCTGCAATGCATCATTCTAGTAGAGGCTTAGGAGAGTTAACTATTTCACATATTGTGTATTTTAAAATAGCACATTCAGTAGTTCTCCTACTTGTTGGAGATATGGCCCTAAAGTGGAAAAACAGTTTTGATATCTCCTTGTCAATTAGTGATCTATCAAAAGCAAATAATCTTTAAATGGAAACGACCTGTACATTTCTTTTGTTCTGTATTTTGCAGGCATACTGGAATTTATCAGTATAGCAGTGGGCTTGGTCAGCATTCGAGGGGTAGACAGTGGACTCTACCTTGGAATGAATGAAAAAGGAGAACTGTATGGCTCGGTAAGTTCTTCACCAGTTTAAAAAAAAATCATGCTCTCATCTGATTGCATTAATTATTATTAGTGTTACAGTAGCTCCATGAAGCCCTAATGAGATCTGAGGCCCATTGTGCGAGGCATTGTACAAACCCATAGCCGCTGCTTTAAATATTTTACAATCTAATTTAAGACAAGCTGGAGCAAGTCAATATAATAAGCAAATGGGGAGGACAAGGGTAACAGTGGCAGGGAAGAGTGATTATGTAGACAGACTACAACTCTCAAGTTTTTTTTTTTTTTTTTTTTAAATGATAGTAGTCAGGAAGTTTTAATGTCCCTTGCTTATAAATGATCATGGCTAACAGGCCGTTTACAGTAGGCATTGTAGTAGAAGTCGGTCTTAAGGACAGATTTTAAGAAGGACAAGGTGGCTGGTTTGTGGATTTATTGGGGGATCTCTTTTCAGGCATAAGGGGTTTATGGAGAACCAGACATGTGGTTGATAAAAGTTATCATCCTTGGAAGGGGCAGCAGAAGTTCCAAGAATGGAGAGGTAGGGAGAGGCTAAATTGTGCAGGGCCCTAAAAGCAAGGAAAAGAAGTTTATTGATCTTGTGTTTGAAAACTTGGCAAGATTGTGAGAGAGAGGGGCAGGGAAGGTTTGAGGAGGGAGGAAAAAATGGTGTCTTGGGATTTCCAGTGTGAGAGTCAGAATGAAGAGGTAGTGCTGCTGGACAAGGAGGGTGGAGGACTGATGAAGGGGAGAACATGTCTAGAATGGAAGAAGGTTGTGTAGTCACGGGGCTTCCTTCAGAGGCAGGAGGAAGCAGATACTGGTGATGAGCGAGAGCTAGGGATTGGTGGGACAGGCCTTGCAGTGAGAGGGAGAAAGGAGTTGAAGGTGGTGGAGAGTCTGGCCTGGAGGGAGTCACTGAGGATGAGATGCGAGAGTCAGGAGTCAGTCAGTGACCAAGGGGTTGGGGAAGAGAGAGGTGGGGAGCAGATGACCGCTACAGGGAGGGGATAAGTGAGAAGTGTTGGAGGAAATGTTTTTGAAGGAGCGAGGGAGGGGCAGTGAGTACAAAGAGCAGGAGAGGAGAAGCCCAGTGCCCCCAACACATGTTCCGTTGGGGATGATTTGGAGTGCAAAGTGTGTAGAAAAGGAGAAGCTTCCACATGGGAGTGGTCCAGCAGAGCAGTGTCCAAGGGAGATCCAGGTTTCATGCTCTGTGCTCTGACATCATGCTCCACGAGAGCAGGGAGATAGAGGAGTCAGGGATGACTGCCCTTTTTTTGGAGATGGAGCAGGATGAGGGAAGTGGGGCTTGAGGAGTGTGGGAGGGGAGTCCAGGAGGACAGAGGCGATTAAATGAAAGGATGTGGGAGGCAGGAAGGGGGAAATGGAGAGAGGATCAGGGTTGGGGGAAATATCACTGGAAACCAAGAGAAGACTCAAGGGATGGTGAAGATGTGGGATGTGAATTGGGAAAGCTAGGAAGGAGTGGGAGAGCCAGAGGAGGAAGAGAGGAGACGATAGAGTGGGGAGGGCAAAAGGGACAGAATATAGAGCAAGTGGGGTGGGGGAGGAGGAGGGAAGAGACTATGATCTAGAGAAGAGGTGTGGGAACAATGATACATGAGTAGTGACAGCATATTTACTAGTCATGGCCAATCTTAAGGAATAATTATTGTGCAATTGATAAATAGTGCAAAGAACCAGTAAGACATGAATTGGTTATATGGCTGAATTACGCAGAGAAACAAGAGTAATATTCCTGATTTTCAGTTCATGAGGTGAATTATTTAAGCAGATAAACATATGTCCAATGAACCAATTAAATTATACTACACTTTTCAGATTTTATTTAAAGCAAATATCTAAGGATAACAAAAGGAAACAAATTAAAAAATGACTCCGTTTTACTGATGAGGCTTTAATAAATGGATTTGGGAAGTTAATTTTAGTAATGTGACAAACTTTTACAAGTTAGGTTTGTATTCTGTGTTTGTATTATAATGTCACACTGAACTAGTGAAAATACTCCTTGTTAAATGTTTTTTCAAAGTAATATTTTAAAAAATGGAGCCCTTCAGAAGGAGGATTGCCAGACTGGGGGGTTCCATTTGTAAATGCATGACAAGAGATTGCCTGTCCTCATACTACAGAGATGCAGTATACCAAAGATTGATGATGATCAAATCGTATTACTTTCAATGAAACATAAGATCTAATGGCTACTCAGTGTTATGATACTCAAAAGCCTTGTCACCACTAGCAAAATTAGTACCCATATTTGAGCAACTGCCAGCTACAGTGCAAATGCTAGTGGAGACAGGGCTCAAAGCAGGTTTTTATGACAGAAGTGCCTAGTCTACATTAGTGTAATAGGACCAGAGCAGGTGCATTTCTGCTGGTTGTTACTGTTAACAGGTGCGAACTTTGCTAGTGTAGATGCAGTGAGTGGGAAGAATATGTATTTACATTGACATATATCTCTGGCCGAACATTATAAAAGGTATGAAATGTAAAAGGTATCCAATACTTCCAAATCAACTGCCTTAAGGCACATATCCTCCCTTTTGTGTGTTAAAAGGCATGGAATTTGAGGCCTTGTCCTGAGATATCTTTAGCACCACTGGAGATGGGACAGATGGCAGAGTAGAACACCCAGGGTATGTGACTACTGACAATTCTCACAGAAGGCAAGAGACCGCTGGGAACAACAGTGTCAGTTTTGGTAAATCTTGACCCATCCATGCTCCCCCTGGCTTTCCTAAAGCCCTGCCTATTGGGTAGATCCCCACTAGCTGTTTGTCCTCCCCTCTTCACAATATGTAAGCTTCAAAAGGAGGAGCTCCTCCATCATCATCATAACATTTAAAATCTTAAATGCCTGTAAAATGATTTTTCTTTGTATCAAGCTGCTCTCAGGTAGGAACATGCTATGTAGAGTGGCTGTTTTCAGAGTCTTCCTCTTTACCCCTCAGTTCTGGCCTGCAAAACTGAGTATTTGTGTTGCATCCATGGAGAGGCCAGAGGTCGTTCTCTGTGGCCATAGTTGGGAGGCTGCTTTGTGGTAACTTTTCCTTCTGTGCAGCTACTTTGTCCCTTCCACTCATGTTGACTCCCCTTCTTAGCATGCAAAGAAGACTCAGTATGATTCCCCTTGACAATAGAGCCCATGCAACAAGATGAGATTTAATATAGATATAAGTAAGTTTTGTTACTGAAAGAGGAAATGAATATATCTGTGTTTCAGTCTGTAAATTGTCTAGAAAATAGCTAATTTGATTAAGACCTACATGAAATAATCTATAGAAAACTAAGCATGACCTTGCACGACAAAAGTATGGTGTGTGTTTTGAAGAGAGATATATTATAGTGTGGGTGTATTGCTTAAGAAGGTAATACCTCACTACAGCATCTTGTCAGGACTTCACCTGTGATATTATATGCACTTCTGGTTTGTTCCTGTAAATTTGCAAGGACATATACAAGAAATCCAAAGATTGGCAAATAAGACATTTTGAGAAAAGAGATTTTCATAGTCCACAGAAAATAACTTGGTATGGGTAGAGGGCATAATGTCACATTCCATAAATACCTTTCAGACTACAATGTAAATAAAAGAAGAGAATTATTTGGTCTTTCAAATGGTAGGACAAGGAGCAAGGAAACTAAGTGAGAAAAAGTTTAGCCTATATGTTAGGGAAAAAAGATTTTAAGAGCAATTGGGCTAGGTAAGTAGTCAAAGTATCACTGCAGATATGTAAGAACAGGACAGAAAAAACACTACTGGAAAATAATGTCACCTTGCGATAACACTTAGCATCTTTGATCCAGAAAAATCCCAAATACTTTATACTCACTTCGCTTCACCACCACTGTGAGATCAGCCTCATATGGGACGGGGAGCAGGGAAGTCTTTAGGTACCAACCTCATTGCACAGCATAATGGCCCATCTAGTCCAGCATCCTGCCTTCTGGCAGTGGCCAATGCCAGGTGCTTCAAAGGGAATGACTAGAACAGGCAATCATCAAGTGATCCATCCCCTGTCATCCACTCCCAGATTCTGGCAATCAGAGCATGGGGTTGCATCCCCATCCATCTTGGCTAATAGCCATTGATGGACCTATAGTCCATGAAATTATGTAGTTCTTTTTTGAACCCTGTTGTAGTTTTGGGCATCATAAATCCCCAGGCAATTAGTTCCACAGGTTGACTGTGTGTTGTGTGAAGAAGTACTTCCTTTTGTTTGTTTTAAACCTGCTGCCTATTAATTTCATTGGGTGACCCCTTGTTCTTATGTTATGTGAAGGAGTAAATAACACTTCCTTATTCACTTTCTCCACACCAGTGATGATTTTATAGACCTCCATCATATCCCCACCCTTAGTTGTCTCTTTTCCAAGATGAACAGTCCTAGTCTTTTTAATCTCTTCTCATATGGAATCTGTTCCATACCCCTAATAATTTTTGTTGCCCTTCTCTGTACGGTTTCCAATTCTAATATATCTTTTTTTTATGATGGGGTGATCAGAACTACATACAGTATTCATGGTGTGGGCACACCATGGATTTATCTAGTGGCATTATGATCTTTTCTGTCTTATTATCTATCCCTTTCCTAATGGTTCCTAATATTCTGTTAGCTTTTTTTGACTGCCACTGCACATTGAGCAGATGTTTTCAGAGATCTATCCACAGTGACTCCAAGATCCCTTTGTTGAGTGGAAACAGTTAATTTAGACCCTATCATTTTGTATGTATTTGTATCAACATTTGTATGTAGTTCCAATGTGCATTACTTTGCATTTATCAACATTGAATTTCATCTGCCATTTTTGATGCCCAATCTCTCAGTTCTGAGACATCCCTTTGCAACTCTTATCAGTCTTTGGACTTAACTATCTTGAGTAATTTTGTATCATCTGCACACGTTGCCACCTTTTTTTACCCCTTTTTCCATATCATTTATGAATATATTGAACTACACTGGTCCCAATAGAGATCCCTGGGGG